TCAAAACACTTGCCTGCAAAACGATAACCCGATAACCAATCCCACATGAAGCACCGCCATCCCTCCTCCCTAAGATAGACCAAATAAGGGGACAGAATCAACCGGAATCGAAGCAGACAAGATTCTCATTCAAAAGAAACATTCTACCATAACCATAGTTAAAAAAACGGAACCATACAGTAGGTCCGCAAAACAAAATACCCCTAAACAAAAGGGGAAAGACAATAGGAAAAGATATGGGATATATATATATATATAAATATATATATTTATATCACCAAACAGTTCTTGATGATGATGTTCAGCCTCCTGACGAGTCGGAGAAACTCCGACAAAACAGTTTGTCACAGCCCCTCGTTTCTTGTCATCCTCTCCCTCTCTGCCTACGGTTTACCGGGCAGCTCTGTTTGAGAATATATATCGTCACAAACAGAACTGCCCGGTAAACCGTCGGCAGAGAGAGATATGACAATATCTATATGATATTATATATACGTATATAATGTCACATATGTATGAAGTGAAAGAGCCCACTTTGCGAAACACGATAAATACACAAGACAAACATGAAGAGCACACTGAAACCATTATTTTCTATAATTCCTCTTTTCACTTCCCCTTCACTGTGTTTCTCACGTACAAGGCTCGTCGCGTTGGTGAAGTTGAGCACGAGCTGTCCACATCCTCTTGTTACAAGTGCGTCATAAGGGCCCACTTGTACGCTATGAGAAAGAGGCAGATCAAAGGGGAAGGGGATACTCACAGAAAAGAGATGGAGAAAAGACAAAGGGAAAGTGAGGGAACATAAGGAATGCAGGCTGAAGATGAAAGCAAAGGAAACGATAAGAAAGGCTCAAGAATCAGTCTTTCCTTGACGACAGAGAGGACATACATTGTAAGGATGATGAGGTGGATGGACACATGGAGGACCTATAGCTAAGCATTCTCAGTACAACAATTGCCACGACGGCTGGCATTGAGCATGCCCACCATATACTCCTGACAAATAGCGCTTGCCGTCCAACACGAAGGAAGAACGGGCACCACAAAAGACCATGGCCGCAAAACGGGCATATAGTGTCCGGATGCGGAGGGTGCCTGCAGTCAGGAACGGAGAGACAGTCCTCTACACACATGGATGCAGAAACCATGTCATTGTAGTGATGTGACAGAGACGACGGCGGCGACACCCGCATGCAACAGTGTTTGTAGTTGTGCAAAGGAAAAGGTAACAGAGTGTTGGTACATTGTCCTGCTGCAGCACGGAGCCAGCGGAATGACCTTCGACATAAAAGAGATTGTAGACGGTTTGGTGTCGCAAGAAAACAACATCATTATGTAAGAAATCGGCAAAGATGAGTCATGGCAAGGACCATGCCACCGTCGTCCCACAACTCCCTGTTGTCAGAGGCATGTACAATGGCCATGTAATGGCCAGGTTCGTGCACAATGCTGGCAGAGATGTGGGATGGAGGATTAAACC